ATTTTCATCAAGGCCTAGTTGATTTGTTGAGATACATAAGCTCAAAAATCAGAGTGTTGTCTTAGGAGGTCAATCTTCTATCTTTCTTTTACTACTTTAGTTGAGTGCTATGTTATGCTTGCTTCTGTTTAAGTCATTTGATGGTTTTATTTTGTTTAAAAATCTTGAACCTACATTGAGTGCTTAGTAAGGTCTATTTCTATTCATTCTATGTTATTTATATTTCTTTTAGTTTGACACGTGACTTTAAGGTGATATAATCTATGTAATAAATCTCATGCTCGTGATTTGAACCTTTGTTAAACTCAATTACTGAAAATGAATACATTAGATTGCCAAAGTGATGTCTTGTAATCCTCTGTTAATGTAGTGCCATCCGCTAGCTAGGAAAATTAGGCCATTTCATTCAAGTGTAAAAATGCAGCAAGTTTGGGTTGTTCAATTGCTGTGGGCCGTGGATTGATTTTCTGAAAAATTAGACTTAGGCCAATCAATTTAATCTCGATAAGGCCCAAGGTAGTAAAATGATGCTAGCCCATTTCCTGTTTAATAATAAATCTAGCCCATCTTATCATAACCAATTTACTTCATTTTTCATAACTATTCCATAAACTCTTGGTCTTACAATAATTTCAAATTAGTTTAGGGAAATAATACTCGTACACGTACACGTGACTTCTTTCAAGATAATTTTCATAAATTTAATTTAGCAATAAAAGCGGGCATAGGTAAAACATGAGAACCAATAAAACACAGGTTATCCAAAAATAATATAAGCCAAATGTAGTCAATAAAGCGACTGTGCTAGAATCACGGGACTCGGGGAATGCCTTACACCTTCTCCCCGGTCAACAGAATTCCTTACCCGGACTTTATTTTCGTAGACCAATAATAATAGAGTCGAACCTTCATTTGAATAGGGATTCAAATAAAAGGTGACTTGGAATACCCAAAAATCAATTCCAAGTGACGACTCTGTAAATAAAATAATCCTTATTCAAGTTTGTCACTTTAATTGGAAAAACTCTTTAACCCAATCCATATAACACAATATTTTTTTGGGGTATAAAAGGGGTGTGACAGCTTGTCTTATTGAGAATTCTGATTCTCCCATCTTTAAGCTTAATTGGTCTTATTATCTATTGATGTGTTCACGTAGCTAGGTACTAAATCAGCAAATGCTATCTTCACCCATGCTTTCTTATTTTTTTCCACTTTTAATGCAATTTTATTGGAATATTCTTTAAGTTTGCATTTTATTTAGATATTTTGACCGAAAGTACAAGTGACGGATTGATCTTCCATCTTGCATACTTGGCTGATTGATTCGCTCGGTTACTTTTTGATAGTTGGTTTTTTCTCCTGTTAGTTCAGTAAATGAATGCACATGGGTTATCACGTTTGTATTTTTATTAATGGGAAATATTATTGCATTCATACATGCACGTAACATACATATAGTATGTATTAAAAACATTCTTCCATGATGATTACTTTTAACTTTTTGTAAATTAAAACTATTACAGAGAACTCAGAAAAATGATTATTTTCAAGGTCATGGAAGCGTACTCAAAGGTTCTCCTCCATCACTTCAAGTGGCAAAGGCTGTGAAATATTTGTTTTGGTACACTTCTTTCTATCCCTCAAGGCCTCAACATGTTGTTCTCCACTTCTTTTTTGGGTATAAGTTGATAAATTGTTTCGGTAATTTATTAATTAAAAATTCAGATAATAAAAGTTGAGAAATAAAAATTTTAAATGTAACAAATTGTCAATAATTTGGAGCTTGACAGAATATTGTTTGTTAATTACTATTATTTATGTAGTATCAAGAATTTATTCATCTCGCAATAAATCTAGAATTTTAATTTTATATTCAGTTTGAAAAGAATCTTTAGTTCATATTTCTTTATACATAGGCGTAATATTTATGCATATGTTGTCAAAAAAAGACATCAAAATTATCTTATTTCCGGACTGCATTATGAACCAAATAAAAAGCAATTTTATAGATATAACTTTTTGACAAAATATCATGTCTAATACGTACATTTAGTTAAACTCTGTGATAAGCATACATTTTTTTGTGATCCTAAATAAAACCCTTTGTACTCAATGTCTAGTACTACTAGTATATATTCACAATCTTGTTCTAACTTTTAAAATCGTGCATTTTTTAATCAACATTAATGCGACCTAAGGAGTGTAATGTACGGCTCGAACCTGTGACATAATGAATACTTTATGCATCAGGCAAAAGAAAATTCAATAATGGATGCTCGGCTATCAGATATATGCATCGGCACATCTGCAGCTCCAACTTATCTTCCTGTTCACTATTTCAAGAACCAAGACAAAGATGGCAACTTTCAAGAGTTCAATCTAGTAGATGGTGGAGTTGCAGCCAACAATCCAGTAATTAATTATCATTATCTTTATTCCTAATAAATATCTACTGTTGGGCTAAAACAACCCAAAGACACTTTTAATATGGTGTGATATTATCTGTTTTGGGTTAAGTCCGCACGGTCACCAGATTCCTACATACTATATTTGCAGGCTTCCAATCTTTTCAGCTATCAATATGGGACTTTGTTCGCACATCTAATATCTACCCTTTTTTATCTTCTTAATTTCTCATTAGTTCATGTAATTACTAACTCTTGATCACTTCTGTATATATATATATATATATATATATATATATATATATATATAGGCCCTTGTAGCAACAAGCCAAGTGACCAAACAAATCCTCCACGGAAATCCAGATTTCTTTTCTGTAAAACCAGAATATTATGGTCGATTTTTAATGATCTCATTAGGTACTGGATCATCAGCAAAGATGAAACCAAAATACAATGCTAAAACAGCAGCAAAATGGGGTATTTGCAAATGGCTCCTCTAAGGTGGTTCATCTCCAATCTTGGATCTTCTTACTCATGCCAGTGACGATATGGCTGATTTCCATATTTCTGCCCTCCTCCAAGCACTTCATTCCGAAAATAATTACCTTCGTATTCAGATATTCATTTGTTTCATTTTATGTGAACCTAAGTACAAAGTTTGACAATAAGACTTTTGAAACTTGTTGTCTTAAAAAACAATATTACATTTGTGTGACTATAAATGCATGTGATAAGCATGAGAATATAAGAGAGACATGACCTTATACGGTAAGACTTCTCTATAACAACATCCTTATACAGTCATTCACTATAAAAGTCAAGTTTTTATCGAAACTGAATTTTTATGTAATGTTATAATATATGTTCTATATAATAACACTTCACTATAGCATCCGAAAAATATCGAAACAAACACGCGGTTGCTATAGAGAGGTTTGACTGTAAATTAAAATCATCATCCAACTTAATTAACACTACTTTTGTAATTGATGATCATGATAGGATGACACATTGAATGGGACAGATTCCTCTGTTGACATATCAACGAAGGTTAACCGTTAACATGAAGAAATTAGTTGAAATTGGGAAGAATCTGTTGAAAAAAACAGTTTCAAGGATTAATTTGCAGACAGGTCTACTTGAACCATGTCAACATAGGGGCTCAAATGAAGAAGCTCTAAAAAGGTATATTCAAAATAGTCTACTGAATATCACTATACATCTTTTAGATATATTATATAGTAAAAGCAATATAAAAAATTTATTTGATTTGTTTGGAATAATTGATTTGACCTAACAATTTTTGTCAGGTTTGCCAAGTTGCTTTCCGAAGAAAGGAAGCTTAGGAAATCCAAGGCAGCTTTAACAAGTATAAGATCAGAGTAGCTGGTTATTTTTGTTTCTTTTTGTAGTTCAAGGTTTGAATTAGACCTTCCTAACAAAGGTGACTCCATTCCAGAGCTAGAGCTCGAACACATGAAGGAGTAATTACGGTCCTAACTTTTTGTTAATATATGTATTAAGCTTGAGATGTAAATAGATTTATTATATGTGTATAGTTGCGGTTAATAGATGTAATCAATAGCAGTACTGGTAGATAGTGTTTGTTCTAGCAGTTACATTCATGTATAATACATAGATTTAATTTTTTTACCTTACTATACAAAATATCTCAACTTATGCTCCATTATATTAGCAAATTGTATTATATATATTTTTTACATTAACGGAATTCCAGTTTGAAGCTTGAAGTGTAACGTAAGGTAATTTTGCACCATAATGAAAAGAAAATGAGTAAAATTCGACAATATTTTCCCAAAAATATTTTGACACGTGAAATCTTCCAAGTAAAATTGCAGCTCTGTTAAAGTCAAAAGCAAAGGCAAATAACGGGGCAAGATGCACTTCTTTCGTCGTTTTTTCTTTCCTTTTAAGAAAATGATAATTTTTACTGTACATCAACTAACTAACACTTTGTTTGGGTTATTGCTTTATCATTATTTTGTATAATGTATCGTTTCATATTATATTATGTATCTTACTATATTATTTTTTGGATATAAGGTTTGGATAGATCATATGATATAATAACATTTATTTATGTGACTGTATCGTATATTTTCATTAACTGATAAGTTTTTTAAAGTGCATTTAGTTACCGTAAATGTTGGATTTAGCAACACACAAAAATAAATCCAAATTTTCTCCCAAATGTCAATATAAAGTACAAGAACTAGAGAATATAAACCCATCCAAATCTATTAAAAATTAAAGAAAGTTAAAAAGAACGTGAAAATATGCTCTGAGATCGTGTTAGAGAGTGAACATAACAACATTCGGAGGGACTAAATTCTAACCCTCTAGTATTAAAAACAGAGGATAAATATATTTATCAAATAATAAGTTAGGAATAACATAACAATCCATTCATATACCAAATAGGTTGTTACATAAAATAGACATTTACTTTCTTATGTAAAGATGAATTTAACAATACAATAGGATAAATTTAAACTAACAACCAAAGCAAACATGAGCTTACATAGTTCTTGGTTTCAAAGCTTTGTTTTTATACCAGTAAATACCTTTGTCTTGAGATCCTTTATCTTTCTCCACATAGTATGCACTCCTTTGTATCTCTCCACAGTGCCTTCAAAATTGGGGTATCATCTAACTTGTAGTAATCCCCTAATAATGGCGTTATAGCTTTGTTTGCCTCCATAGCATGGTAATGCGGTATATATGAGAATATATGATGCAAAACATGAGTATCTGTAACGTTATGGAGGACCTTATTTAGCATACAAAAATCTCTATCTACTGTAGCTAAAGCTCCTCTTAAATAATCCCACTCGGACGAATCATAATGTGGCAATGAAGAGTGAGTGTGGTGCAAAAGAGTTATTAGCACTATAAAGCCATCTACAATAAGGAGGGGCACCCCATATATGCATACAACCCAAGCTAGCTCTTGTGCCAAAGCAACGCGAAACAACACATAAGTAGCTGCAATCACGCCTGCATCTGAAATGTAGATTTGTAGCCTTTCGCGATCAGTATATATCGGGCTATATGGATTATAGTGACATACAAAACGGTCATATGTTTGGCCGGAGATATTGAAGAGCAAGTATAAAGGCCAGGCAAAAGTAAGGGTGAAGGCAAGTACGAGTACTCGTCCTACTGGATTATTCAAGTATTTGTTGTACCATCTTAGTTTTGATTTAAGCCTTGGTATGTAGACTTCATCATTCTCCATGGAACAAGTGTTGGCTTGGTGACGACGATGACTATGTTTCCGGGCAAAGTACTGCCTTAAAAGTGCAGAGTGGAGTATAAGACCAACAGTGTCTTCTACCCATTGGTATTCACTGAAGCCGTGGTGGCCACATTCATGGCCAATGACCCATATTCCTGTGCAAACACAACCCTGAACGATCCAGTAAACCAGCCATGCTATGTAACTATACGGGGATGGAAGGAGATGGAAGTAAGTGGCGGCGATGTAGTAAAAAATGGAGACAAGTATGAGATCACGAACAAGATAAGAGAACGAGCGAACAAGAGATCGATGAAAGCAGTGAGGAGGAATGGCCTTTTTTATATCACCAATTGTAAAAGGGGGTTTTGAAGTTGGAGCTCTTCGGAGATTATTTTTCTTAGTTTTAGTTGTTGAAGATGATATATTTCCACCGGCTCCCATTTCTTTTCTCCTGCCGCGCTTCAATCCTGAATCTGCAACAATTAAGTTTGCTGCAAATTAATGTTGGTTCATCTATTGTAGTCATTGAGTAAATACGAAAATGTAACAGAGAAAATAATACAACAACTTGAAAAAAATGGCAGTTTATGCCGGATTCGGGAAAGAGCTGCACCCAAGGGGTGTGATGTAGGCGGTCTACCTTAATGCAAACATTAATGACTGATTTTACGGCTCAAATCCGTGTCTTATAGGTCAAACGGAAACAACTTTACCGCTGCTCCAAGAGTCCGTTCTATTAAGGATAAATGTTTCCCCGGACGGAGTGCTTCATATGTTAGGGTACTAACCCATAATCTATTTGAAACAAATCTCCAATTAACCCAAAACCCCAGTTAAGACTAATTGTAGTGTAGTTTAGTTTCCTGTTTGATTATTGCAGAGGACCAATTTGTCAACTACTGAAACTAAGTAAAGATAGATATTAGTGAAAAGAAATACTACCTCAAAATTAAAAAAATACCACCTTTTAGCCTTACCTGAAATTAAATCTGGATATGTTTCTCTCTCCTACTTACTCTCTACTTTACAAGAACAGAGAGAGATGGCTTTTGATTTTTTCTCACTTTCTGAAGATAATTTGTGTATATATAATGCCCTGGCCTGGCTATTGAGTGTTTCACACTTACTTACTTACTACTACTACTACTACTACTACTATATATATATATATAAGAGTTATTTTTCTCCACGTTTATGCTTATCATTATGATTATTGATGGTAAGGCCTAGCTCTCTCTTCATTCAGTTTCTTGAATTCACTGATGTGCTTACTTTTTTGCTAATTTATTTCATCGGTTTCAAGGTGTAGTTACAAGTTCAAAGATCAGCTATTTTCCTTATAATATTATGGAACATATGGTGACTAAGTCTAGCCTGCAAAAACTTTTCAAGAATTTAGAAAAAGATAGTATTCTAATGCATAAAGTAACTGGTAATCGAGGAGGTTTTATATTCATACTCCGAAAGTTCTAGCTTTGATGTTGCCTATTATTTGTGACTACAAGAGTTGCCTTAATTTTTATTTGGCTGGACAGGTAGGGTGAATTTTGATACAATAACATGTAGTAGTATTTAATCTTTTGGAATTAAGTACTTCATAAAATTATATGATTGTTAGATATTGAATTTTATTTGTGAGTTGATGTACAATAACTCTTTAGCACACTGTATTATTACCATGAGATATTTTCTGTTCTATGAGCTCATCTACTAAGATTGAGGACAAATAAAACAAGGAATCAAGGATAGTTTTGCATGATTATTGTTGAGTATATTTGGTAACTGTGATTTGGTATAACTTTGTTTGTTTCCTTGATTATAAGTCTTTGTAAATTAAATATAACATACTACAAATGCACTTGAAAGGAACAAACCAAAATTTTGAGAAAGAAAAATATATATTACCTTGGCTGAGTGTCATTTCAAATATAAAGTGTTATTGCGGACATAATAACACAAAATCGTCGTTAATGGTACTTGGTTGATCAAGCATTAGAAGTTCGTTGATTAACTTCTGATCGGGAAGCTACATAGTAAGTACCATCTTGAGCTAACTATATATTGAACAAAATTTTATGTTTGATTATATCTTCTCCAGTATTTCGTGAACTCTACTTTGGCAGAAGCTGATTATTCATCAAAGGGAGATTCAAAAGAACCTCATGACTGAGATATGTATTGGTTCTTGAGCACTGCCAGCTCACTAAAACATATCCAGATATAAAGATGCGTTATATTGCAATTGTCCTGAAGAGTTTGTACTTGAATTAAACCATATACTCAGTTTCCTTTGGATATTTGGCTTATGAAACTTCAGTTTGATACTTTATGTGATAAATATAGTAAATAAATCATTTTATCATGTTGTGAAACATATTAGAAACATTCTATTTAAAGTCGGAAAAAATTGGAAAAAGCAAAGCGGATCACTTTTTTTATATTTCCCTTTTCTTGATGAGTAATCAAAAAAATTTATTAATGAAAAAGCTCACACTAAGATAATGTTGGAATGACATAAAAGAAATATTAATATCAGTCCATATTTATTCATGACAAAAAATGTATCAATTTATTTACTTCATATCCTTATACGTTCTTTATAACGAATGGACTTTTTTGTGTCATTTGGTAGTCATATGATTTTAACGTATTTTTTTCTTTTAATTGAGGGCAAGTAAATGTATTGGCCAACTTTTGTGGACATTGTTTGCATTTCATATAGTTGTCAGTGTTAGCTTATCAAAGAAAACATAAGGCTTCACATTTGTTTTTCGTTAATTGTTAAGTGGTTTAATCTTAAGGATAGGAAGATCCTATATTGTTTTAATAAAAGATTAGATTTGCGATGCATCTTTAGATTGTAATAAAAGTGTCTTGGCCTTTACTTACTTTGTGCCCTCTTCTCTAAAGCGCCATAACTCGATTCTTGCTTTGAGTAGTTTGTTTGCGGAGATTCTTGGTTTGTGTATATGCACTCTCTCTCTCTCTCTCTCTCATACACACGCGCACGCATATGCACACGTACATATCTTTTTGTCATGATATTTTTCAATTCTTACTATGGGACATTTATCAGTTAATATTTTCTATCTCAAAAATGTTTGACGACTTATTCTCTTTTTGGAACAGGACAAGAAGTTATTTGAAGAGTACACAGTAGCAGATGTTTCCAGCAATGCACAAATATTTGCAATACTCTATATGGCTCTTAATTGGATTATGTTATCTGTTTTGTTCATAATGCAAATACATTTGGTTGACTACGTAACATAGGATGGTGGGTAGAAAATGGATTAGCAAATAAGGTGTATGCTTAAGTTTGATGGTGCTTCCGTGTTTGTGAACTTATGTCTATTCTAAATTATTTATAGCTTTTTAATAAGTTTTCTAAGAAGCTACAGTGTTGGAGTTTTAATATAAGTATATGAAATATAAAATCAATCATGGCATAATGATTGGGTAATGATATTAAATGTGAAATAGCATGGGAAATCATTATTTTGGAGTTGCTGGGTCATACGTGAGGCTACTATTAGGCAATCTTTGTCCACTGTTGAAACTGCCGCATTCGAAATTTATATTGTACAGATTTCAATTAATTAGAGTGGGGATTGACTTTGATTTTGACTCGTCCTAAGATTACGAAAATTATTCGCCTAGATTAATTAGAACGTGTAATTCAATATTTTGGATAGATTGAGGCCATTGGAGGCTGTTTGGTTGATGTTCTAGACGTTACAAGGTTGGAGAACTTTCCGTTAGCGAGGTAAGTGAGACTTTAACCTTTGATGCTTTCTTTTCTAAAACCCGTTTTGAAAATATATTTTGTCTGCCTGGTCCATGCGTTGGGACGAGCGTGCGTTTGGCAGAATTAGTGGCCGTTGACCAACCGCAAATATATATTATTTTGTAAAAAGCTAATATTATTTAATAAGTGATTTGTGATGTGATGTGGCGTAGCCTCATGCTATGGCATTGGGGCATTAGAAATTTTTTCTTCGTTGCCGTAATATATTTTGGGCATTGTGTATGATGCCGTGATAGATTTGGGATATTGTGTATGCCGCCATAATATATTTGGGGCATTGTGTATGCCGTCGTGATAGATTTGGAGCATTGTGTATACCGCCGTAATATATTTGGGGGCATTGTGTACGCCGCCGTGATAGATTTGGGGCATTGTGTATGCCGCCGTAATATATTTAGGGCATTGTGTATGCCGCCATGATAGATTTGGAGCATTGTGTATGCTGTCTTGAACTCGTCGGGATATTTGGTTAATTTCATGCACTACCGTTAATAACAAGTCCTTAGTGTAGATTGTGTTGAGATAGATATAGTGTTGTTGTTGAATAATTATTTGGACCTTATAGAGTAATTATATGATGAAAGAATTTCTGTGCATATTATTTCTGTGCTCGTTGTGTGTTTGTATTTTCTAACACTTGTTCCAGGGGTATTCAAAGTGGCGGGTCAAGGATCTTACTGAGTTATATTTACGTATAACTCACTCCTTACTGGCATGTCTATGAAGATACTATTGGTGAAGATGGAGCTAGTAACTAACGAGTTCGATAGAGTTGATTCAGTTATTGAGGTGAGCCGCCACATTGTTCGTGGAGGCTTCCAAATGAGTCTTTATTATTTATTCATATGATGTCTTTTGCAATTCTCTTATATGCTCCACGGTCTAGTGTGGGATCTGAGCTAGAGTTTCAGTATTATATTTCGAGATATTAATTGTTCGTAATGGTTATCAGATTATGTGGATACTTATTTAATTAATCAAATACTGTAAATTAATGGCTAAAGTATGAAAGTATGGTTCGCCTAGCTGGTAGTGTGTGTTGTGTGTCAGTCACATCTAGGGGATAATTTGCGGCGTGACACCCAAAATGTTGTGTCCATAGGTAAAGGCGTCAGTATGGTTTTGTTGTGGGATGAAGAATATGTAAAGTGTATCAGCTCATGTAAGCCAATTCTGAACGGTGATGATTTATGTCTAAGAGCAGAATTTAGTTTAGTCAGTGATCCAAGCTTCAAATTCAAATTTTATGGCGTGTACGGAGATTCGCAAGATGAATTTCAATTTCTTGCACAGAATCTAGGGTTGGATAAAAGCACCGACCCATGGATACTAATGGGTGATATTAATCTTACCGCAAATCCTTTAGAAGACAGAAGCTATTTACCTTATCCGGGGTAAAAAATAAAGAAATAATGGGAAGACTTTCAAACGTTCCTGAGTCTACCACATTTTGCAGATGTGCAAAGAAGCAATATACACTTAGAGATAATTAATCAGGAAATAGAAAGACAATCTAAGTTAGATAACGTTATTTGCAGTGAAGAGTTTATGAAGCTTTTTAAGGACCATGAGATAGCTACCTTTGCAAGCAGTCTTTCTAACCATGAGCCAGTACAAGTAATATGGAAATTTCAAAGTAAATAAATGTAATAGAAAGTGGGAGGAGGAAAAATCGGGAGGCAGGAGGCTTTTTCCTTAATGAAGATACGTTCAAGGAAGATTATGTTTATGGTAGCAGTTAGGATCGGGAACTCGGGTAGTGCGAAATTT